CTATTGCGGTGAGGACATAAAATCCCACTCCCCTGTGGCGGTCCTCGCCCTGGTGCTCCTTTTCCCCCCCCCCCCTCTCTCGCCGTCCCCCCCCTCCAAGAGTAAGAGGCTCACTCCACCCCCCTCACGAGCGCCCAGGTGTACGACGCCCTCAACAAGTGCGAGTTCGACCTTAAGCGCGCCGTCTTCATCGCCGAGGGATGGGTGGCGACGGATGAGTACGAGGCGCTGGTCACCTCCCTCCAGTCCGCCGCCGTGGCGCAGGGGCTCGACACGCGCCCCATCATCAATCTCATCCAGTCCAAGCTCACGCCTCCGACGTACGTCCCGACCAACGCCTTCACCAGCGGCTTCCAGGCGCTCGTCAGCACCCACGCGGCACGAGCAGCTGCTGTGAACGGCGTCTCTTCACACCTCTGGCGCTGCGAACAGGCGCTCGTCAACACCTACGGCACGCCGCGGTACCGCGAGGTGAACCCGGGCGCCTTTTGCTGCATCCTCTTCCCGTACCTCTTCGGCATCATGTTCGGCGACTTCGGGCACGGCCTGCTCTTCGCCGGCTTCGGCTACTGGCTCATCTCCAAGGAGAAGGAGTGGGAGGGCAAGGACCTGGGCGACATGCTCGAGATGGTCTATGGAGGCAGGTGTACACGCTCACACGCACACGCCCACCCACGCGCACCGGGCCTTGCACTTTGAATGCCGCGCGGCTCCTGTCGTCTAGACGTGGAGTCGCGAGGGACCAGCCTGGCCCTTGCCCCACCACCTCGTGTGTGTGGAGAAGTCTACCTTACCGTCCCTTCCCTTACCTTAGGTACATCTGCTTCCTGAACGGCCTCTTCGGCGCCTTCGTCGGCCTTCTCTACAACGAGGCGTTCGCCTTCCCGATGGGCTTCTTCGGCACGTCTCGCTGGGAGGGCTTCGAGGAGGAGGGGCTCTCGGGCATGACGTGCGAGCACCTCGAGCGGTGCGAGATATGGGGAGATATGGGGAGATATGGGGAGATATGGGGAGATATGGGGAGATATGGGGAGGGGCTCTCGGGCATGACGTGCGAGCACCTCGAGCGGTGCGGCCGAGCAGCGCGGGCACACCTCTACGCATGGCGAGTGAGAGAGTCGACGAGCGACCACTCGCCGACAGGTGCGAGCTCAGCGGGCCAATCTACCCGGTCGGCATCGACCCGATCTGGCACGTGACGGAGAACAAGATCACCTTCTTCAACTCGCTCAAGATGAAGATCTCGATCGTGGTCGGCGTGCTGCAGGTCTGCTCACCCACACGCGCACCGGGCCTTGCACTTTGAATGCCATGCCAGCTCCTGCCCGCGTGTCCGGGCGCGGAGATGCGAGGGTCGCCCCCCCTTGCCCCACTTTGACACCTTACCTGCTGCAGATGTCGCTTGGCATCTACCTCTCGCTGCTCAACCACCTCGAGTACAAGGACGTCAAGAAGGTCCTCTTCCAGTTCATCCCCGAGGTGACCTTCTTCGGCGGCATCTTCGGCTACCTCGTCCTCACCATCTTCATGAAGTGGTCCACGGACTGGTCCTGCCCCCTCGACCACGCCGCCGCGGAGGCCGGCCTGCCCGCCGCCGAAGGGGGCATCTGCCAGCCGGCGCCGTCGCTCCTCACGCTCCTCATCAACATGTTCATGTCGCCCACCGCCGACATCACCGTCCCGCTCTACGGCATCGAGTGCTTCGGCGGGGCCGGCAACCCCGACTGCGCCGGCGTGGCGGAGGCGGGGTACTGCGTCTACCCCGCCCTCGCCGCCGCCTGCCCGGTGTCGTGCGGCGCGCCCGTCGCGGCGGGTGACTTTGTCGACCTGCTGCGCGCGGCGACGGTCGACGAGCACACGGGCGCGACGCTGTCGGGCGGAGGACACGGTCTTCACTTGACTGGTGCTTGGTGACCCCTCGTGCTCCTGCTCACAGGCGCGGTGCTGTCGAGCGAGTACAAGATCTGCATCTCGCCGCTGCAGTCCTACATCCAGCTCAAGCTCCTCCTCGCCGCCTTCGTCGCGGTGCCGACCTCTGCTGCTCGCGATCCCCCGCTCGTCTCCACCATTGACTGGTGTGTGTGCGCTCACCTGCTCTGTCAGGTGCCGATCCTGCTGCTGGCGATCCCGCTCATCGAGATCTACCAGCACTCTGGCAACAAGTACGAGACACGCCTCGACCCAGACGAGCACGAGGCGGAGGAGCCTTCTCGGCACCTTCCCGGCACCTCCCTGCAGGTACGACAACCTCGACGAGGACGACCACGAGGCCGAGGACGACGGCCACGCCTTCTCTGCCGGCGACGCCTTCATTCACCAGGGTGTGTGTGCACCTCGCGGCCGAGTCGCGTCGCACACAACACACACTGACTTGGGGCTCACTCCGGCCGCCCCTCGGCCCTCTAGGCATCCACACGATCGAGTTTGTGCTCGGCGGCATCTCCAACACGGCGCCGTGCCACCCGCCAGACATCCCCACTCATGACTCATACATGAACATGAAGCAGCGGCTGTCTGGCCCACCAGGCGTCGTACCTCCGCCTGTGGGCGCTCTCGCTCGCGCACTCGCAGCTGGCGGAGCTCTTCAAGGACATGATCCTCGGCGCAGCGCCTGTCCACCGGCCCCTCAAACGAGGCGCGAGCCAACGCCGTTAACTCTGCGAACAGGCGCCGGGCTCAAGTCGGGCATCGAGAACCCGGCCCTCGCGGCGGTCGCGACCTTCATCGCCTTTTCGATGTGGGCCATCATCTCGCTCATCGTGCTCATGGCGATGGAGAACCTCTCCTCCTTCCTGCACGCCCTCCGCCTCCAGTGGGTCGAGTTCCAAAACAAGTTCTACTACGGCGACGGCCAAAAGTGGTCGCCCTTCGCCTTCGCGGCCATCGGCTCCGGCGCCGAGGACTGAGCGGCCGCGGGCGGGGCTAGGGGGCGGCGCGGCGCCGCGCCGTGCTCTACTCACGCGCGCGCGAACCACGCGCGAACCACGCATCGGACGCATGGAAGCGGAGGGCCCGGATGGGTTCCCTGCGCGACAAGCCGTGGGTCAAAGGTACGTCGAACAGGCACGTCAAGGGGCGCTCTGATGACCAACTGCGCTCTGATGACCAACCGACATTTGCGTTGTTTCAGAGACAATTCTCTATCTCGCTCGCGTTCCCCAAATAAATGATAATTTATTTTCAATTAATTTCTCCAACGGCGCACACACGTACGTCCGGTCCCTCCGTGTGAGCTGAGGGCCCGTGAACATCTTTAGCTTGTGAGCCAGGAACAGGGTTGAATTCTTTCCTTCGTGCGTGTGAGACTGAGAGAGGCTTTTTGTCGTGAAATTCTGTCTTTCTGTGTACCTGTGTTAGTGCCAGTGCGCGCCAGTCCCGTGCCCACAGGCCACAACCCAGTGTTGACTGTTGTGCGAGGGAGTTTTGGTGTAAAATTCTCTCCTTGTTTTGGTGCCGGCGGGCCGTCATTTGTGTGTCTCGCGCCTTGAGGGGGGGGAGCGGAAAGGAGGAACCTCTTCCCAAGGACACCACTCTTGGAGCGCCGCCACTACCACCCCGAGAGCGCTGCAAGAGCAGCGCCGGGCAATGGCGGCTTACCGCCCACCCAGCCCCCCCCTCGGCACACCCCGGCAGCCAATGTGTGACGGCTCGAACCCGCTAGGCCATCCCGCATTTCTTTTTTTCACATGAACATGTTCCAAAAAGAAACATGTTCAGATGAACATGACATGCACACATACCCCCACATGCGCATGTGTGTTGCTTTCTTGCTCTCTGTCATCATCTTGATCAACGTTTAGCTTACTGCTTGTGTAGTACCATTCCATCATCTACACGGAAAGAGCTAGCTCCTCCTCCTCCTCCGCCGCCGCCTTCATCGCGAGCGCCTTCGCCATGAGCACGTTTGCCTTTGCGAGCGCCCTCTGCCGTTCGCGAGGGGGGCACGGAGCGGGGCTGAGCGCGCGCTCTCGCCCGCTTCACGCACGCCCCCAAGCCCCCCCCTCCGGTTACATCAACAGCCACTAACTAGCGCGCGGACCTCTGCGGCGTCCATCGTCGGCAGGGCGCCTCCAACTCTCCCCAGCGCCTCGGCGTGCTCCTGCACACAAGGCCGCGCGTGATATCGGGAGAGGCCAGCGCGCTGCCGCCGCCGCCGCGGCTCCGCGTGCTGCGCGCGCGCACCTCCATCGCCTTTGCGCCCTCCTCGTCCACCTTCCAACCGCGCAGCAGGCACAGCTGCGCGCGGACGAGCGCGTCGATCGTGGCCATATCCTCCCTCATCTTTTCCGTCTGAGCAAGTTCCCCGCAGCGAATCTCCTCCAAAGTGGCGAACTGCTCCAGCGACTTTTTCCGCTCCTTCCTCTGCTTCTCGGCGAGGTGCCTACTCGAGCCGAGCACCGCAGGTCAAGGGGAGAGCCGCGGGCCACCCAGGGCCGCTGCGCTGGCCGCTGCCGGATCTGCGTGACGAGGTGGTAAAACTCGGCGTCCGAGAACACCTTCAGCTCCCTGAGCGCGAACCGCATGAACTCGAGCCTGTTGAAGGTCTCGCGATTGAACTCGAGCTTGGTGAAGGTCTGGCGATACGCGGATATCTCCGCGAAGTGCGCCTGTGCACCGGGATGTCCGCGGGGAGGTGGTCGGGCATCGCGACGAGGGCCATGGCCGGGCCTCTGCTGGGCCGCACCGCCATCCTGGCGCCACCATCTAGCGGCGGCAGGTACAGCAGGCTGAATGCGGAGATGCCCATCGCATCGTTGCCCTGCGACAGCGGGACATCGGGCATTGGGGGTGGCTGGGACACGGGACTCGCTCCCGCGACCCTCGAGGTCCTCCCCTCGTCACCTCGGGGTCCATAATGTCCACCAGCAGCAGCAACATATTGTCGCGCTTGCCGACGTCGAGATGCTGCTTGCCCTGCGGAAGCGGCGGCACCTTCTTGGGCTTCTGGCCATTCCTCGCCATCCTGATCGCCGCCCCAAAGCCGGCCCGCTCCACACCGCCCGCCTTGCACATGTCGCTCTTCAGTAGCTCCTCGAACTTTGCCTCGCTGAGCAGCTTCAGCAGCGCCCGCTCCATGGCGGCGGGGTCGACCACATCCCCCGCCGCTCTCCTCTGAGTCCGGCGTTGTCTGTATAGCCTACTCGTGGTGTGCCGCAACACCACCTCCTTGAGCTCGCGGGGCGGCTTCATCGCCGCCGTCAGGGCCACCTCCGCTGCCCTACTAAGCCCACGACGAGCCTTTGCTTGCTTCATGGCCGCCCTCACCTGCTTGCGCGTGTGCTTGCACTGAATCGACTCCAGAAACTGCTGGAACTCGTCGAGCGAGAGGGAGCCAGACTGGTTCAAATCAAGCGTCTCGAACAGCGCCTCCAACTGCGGGGCGTAGAGGTGGGGGGCTGTGCGGCGGGGGTGCTGCGTGCTGCCTCGCGGCGCGTCCACGCCTGCTCTCGGTGTGGAGAGTCGGACACGTCCTCCAGCTGCTTCTCACGCTTGGCTGCCTTGTTGGCGGCCTTGGCGGCCTTTGCTTCTGCTGCGGCTGCCGCGGGCTTGACGTAGCCGTCGCTCCTGGGCTTCACATAAAAGGCCTTGGTGGACGCCTTCGGCGAGACTCTGGCCGACGAAGGCTTCTTGGCCAACGATGGCTTGACGTAGCCGTCGCTCCTGGGGCCGGCAGACATTGGGCAACCTATGTGGACGTAAGTAAGGGGGTAGTTACGCTCGTTAAACCCAAATCCAAAAGTCCATTAGCGGGAATGGGGAGAGGAAATTTCACGACGATCGAAATGACCCTGCGCGGGCTCCGCTCCCATAGGGGGGGGTCGCCCCGTGCTGACACACAAAGTTTTTGTTATCTCTCTGTCTGACGGTGACGAAGACACGTGATCACCAGTCACCAGACACCACTGACACCAGACTGACACGACACACGTCTCACGCGTGAGGTGTGTGCTGCTGACAAAGCTACAACACATGCGCGACTCAGGAGCTTTTTTCAAGATTCATAACAGGAAAGCTAGTCAGAAAGTAGAGCCGTACCCCCTGCTGATTTATACTCGCCGGGCCGCTCTTGCGGCGCCTTCTGCGTTGAAGATGAGCGCGCGCGTCACAGCGCAGGCCAGGTCTACACTGGCCGCGGCACCAGCTCCCGCGGTCTGCACGCTAGGAGTGGTCCGCCCTCGCAATGAATGCGGAATACTGTTACGAAAAGTACAACTAGTGCGACACACTAGTCAGTCTCGTAATCGCGCCAAGAGCGCGGATACACACACAAACAACAGGCGCGGCTATGAATAGCTGCGCATATACAGACAACGACTGTTCACAGTTGGGAGAGAGAGAGTCGTCTCTAACGTTCTGCACACAACGATCGTGGCTTGCGCGATCCGTTCAGTGAGGTTCGGGCTGGGCCCCGCCGGGTGCGTTCGTTCGAGTTCGGGTTCACGAAGTCCGCATGAACGCGAAGGGCTGGGCCAAGTTCTTTACTCCTGCGACTCGGGCTCGATCATTAGCGCCCCCCCAAGACGACCTCCTCCACATATTCGAGCACCTTGTCCACGATGTGAATCACGCCGTTGCACGCTTGGATGTCGGCGGCGACCACTTTGGCGGCCACGTCCGGGTCGACGATGACAGGCAGCACCGTGACGGGGCCGGACGGCCCGTTGCCGTTCACGACGATATTCTGGTCGGCAAGGGTCATCACCTCCTCGTCGACGAGCGTAAGTGCGGCCGACGCCGGCACCACGGTGCTCAGAACGTGCTTGCCGAGGAGGTTGGTGAGCGTTTCCTGGTTCTCGGGCATCAGCAAAGTGGCCAGGACCCCATCTGAGAGGGCTGCGAACGCGCTGTTCAGCGGCGCGAAGACCGTCAGGGTGGCTTCGGGGTCGTTGAGCATCTCTGCGACTTGCGGGTCGGCCGCCCCGACGGCGGCGTAGACTGTCGAGAGGTCCTCGGTTTCGCTTGCGATCTGTGGGATCGGGGGGGCGGGGAGAGTGACGATGGGCGAGGGGCGTGAGGGGCGTGTCACACGATACAGGGGCGTTGGGTAGTGGAACACAGCGTGCAGCAGGGAGGGAGGCTAAGCGCAAGGCAGCCGCCGGCGCAGACGCCGCAGAGTGGACTCGCGGGCACGCGGGCATGCGAGAGGGAGCATCGGGGTCCTGGGCGATGGTCTTGCACGAGGGCTCCGGCGTGGGCCCTGTCGAGAAGGCGAGGGCCACGACGGAAAAGACCAACATCTCGCGTGGAAGATCGGTCCTCGGTTTCGGTCCTCGGTCCTCGGCGATTGATCAATTTCGGCGGGGAAATTTCGGCGGCATTATTTTCTTTTTACTTTTTGTTAAATTTTTCCATCGGGAGAATCAGTGGGGGTTGTTTCGGCTGTTGGGTGTGCCCTTGGCCCCGTGGGTACTCGGGGGGGGGGGGGGGGGGGCGCGGGTCGGGCGCGCTGCGAGCGAGCGCTAGTGCGACAACTGCTGGGCTGCACCGCTTTTGTACTCCTTTATTCACGAGGCGACCCCAGGGAACCGTGGGCCTCTGGTTTCCAGTCGCGTGCTGTGAATGAACAACCAAGATAAACAGCGAAGAGATAAACGCCTGGATTCAGCCCGATTCGCGGCGACGTCGCCCCCCGCGAGAGCAGACGCCCACCAACAGCATCAGCATCCGTCGACATGCCGACCGCGATCGGCAAGCTCAACGAGGCGAGGGAGCACAGCTGGTGCACCTCCATGAAGGAGCGTAGCCGACGCCCCGCGTCATTCAGATGCTGCAGCCCGAACGGGCCAACCGCGCCTGCGCGCTCGCCATCGCAGCCGAGGCGTAGCTCCACCATACTGACCTTCCCCCCCTTGCTAGCAGGTTTTTGACGACTTTTTTGACATGGAGGAGGCCGCGGGAATGGACATCGACGCGACCGACCTCGAGGAGCTCATGGCGCGTTAGTGCCCCATGTCCGCGCGGCCAACAACCCGAGCATCGGGTAAAAGTTGATACCAAGCCAAGGGGCCCATACACCGAGCGTTCGCTTCTCCAGATAGCCTGGGGGGTCGACGGGCCCCCGGGGGCGACGGGGGTGCTCTCCGGCCGCGGCGGCCGAAAACGGGGACCTCCAACTAGGTCCAACTATGAAGTGATGCACTTGATGCAAGGGTGCCATTGTGCTCTACTACAAAAGTTGTGTAAGATGCCCAAGTCTCAGACACTCAATCCTTAGCGGAGCTGAGTTCTGACGGTGTGAACACGAGCAACCGGAGTGACGACCGGGACCGGGCCACACGCCGGGAGTGCCCCGACTAGCAGTGACGGGCGCGGACGAGCGAATTAGAGGTCGCTATCTGTGGAAGATGTGTTGTTAGGGACTAGGACTGCCTATCTCTCACTGAAAGGGACCTCTCATTCGCTCGTCCGCACCCGTAACCGCTCACGGAGTGCTCCGCGTGCCGCACCGGCCGCCGCCGGCCGCCGGCCGCTCACGGCAACGGAACAGTCTTACTACTCCGCAACGTTGAGCTGGATCATACTGAATAGTGCTCCTGAAAGCCCTCTCTCTGGGCTCTGCCACACAGTAGCAGCTCATGACGAGCAGCTGCTGTGACTGTATTTGTAGCCATTTTTAGGCTTCAACTGGTCCCAAAATAGTAGCAACACCTCATGAAAATCAGTCAAAAAAGCCCCAAAAAATCGGCGCCTGCGGCGGGCTTCCTGGGGCTGCGCCCCAGACCCCCTTGACTGGGGGGACCCCCCCCAAGAGCACCCCCGTCGCCCCCGGGGGCCCGTCGACCCCCCAGGCCGGATAGCCATCATGAGTCCGACCTCTTCGAGGTGCACATCCCGCGCCTTGACGAGCTCCTGGTGCGCGTACTCGAGTACCAGTCCTTGTGATTCTTGGCGCCTATCCCCTACCCCTCCCCACTCTCGCCTCTCATTTGTGTCACACCACGCGGAACGCGCATCTCCATCGCTTCATGGTGAAGGGGGCCGCACCATCCTCGATCGTCGTGCAAAGCTCGCTTCCGAGCTCTCACGCCGCGCGTAGGGCCCTTAGGGGCCTAGAGAACACAACCCCCTCTCCTTTTTCTCCCAGTAAGCTAAAAGTACACTACTGGGGGAGTGCAACAGCAGCAGCAGCAGCAACCACCTAAGAGGAGGATTTAAAAACGAAGCTCTCCCTCGCACATATAACATTAGAAGCCTCCCACGACAGCGTCGGGGGGAACTACTCGTCTCTAACCGGTGGAACAGGCCGGTTGTGAACAGCGTTTTATGGCTAGGGTCCCTAACTGCTCAGGGACTCCGTCGAGAGGGGTAAAGGGAGTAGCAGTGTTTGGAAGCAGCGTCCGAGCGGTGGTATGGACCCGAGCCGTCCCGAGGAGCCTACAGTACGGCGCCTTGGTGTCACCATCATGGATGAAGTGAGCCTGGTGCGGGATCTCTCGGCCACGGAGGCGGGCCGCGAGAGGGAGCTCACTGCGCGGGCGGATGCGCAGGCGCGCGCGGCGCTGGCGTGCGAGCGGCAGCCCTCCACCCCTGCCTTCGCCGCCCCCGTCGCCCGTCCCTCTGCCTTCTCCGCAGTTCAGCCGCAGCCGCAGCCGCAGCAGCCGCAGCCGCAGCCGCCGATGGCGCACTGCTTCTCCGTGCAAAACGCGCAGGCTCCTCTCTGGTCTGCAGCAGGTGCTTGGGGGTTCGGTGCGGCACATCAACAGCCTCCGCCGCCGCCGCCGCAGCATGGCTTTGCGATTCCGTACTCGCCGCCGCTCGGGTACATGCCCGCCTTCCCGCAGCATGGCACGGCTGCCTGGACCAGCGGCGTTGCCTCCGAGTCTGCCCTCCCGGCGTTTTGCCCTCCCAGCGCTTTGCGAGTCGCTCCCAGTCTGCCCTCCCAGTCTGCCCTCCCGGCGTTTTGCCCTCCCAGCATGGCTCCCGGCGTCTGCCCTCCCATGGCTTTGCGAGTCGCAGCGCCAGACGCGTTGTCGCGGCGGCAGCAGGCTCCTCGGGTGGCGACAGAGGCGGAGCTGCGGCTGCACCTCATTACGCGGGGTGGCCGCTTCCAAGCGGCGCGCTACACCAACGGAGGACGGCAGGTCATCGGCAACTTCGACACCGCGGACGAGGCGGCGGTGGCGTACGCGTGGGCGGTCGCCGCAGAGCAGGGAGATGCAGAGCAGGTGTGGCCTGGCTTACAGGGAGATGCGTCCGGTGGCGCCACACCGCGCGCGGCAAACAAGCGCGACCGCGAGCCCTCCACAGCCGCAGCTCCGCCACCTTCGCCCTTCGCCGCCCCGCAGCCGGCTGGACCACCGGCTGCACCACCGCCGCCGGCCGTCGCAGCACCAGCACCGCCGCCGGCGCCCGTGCCTGCGCCTGCGGGCGGTGTCGGTGCCTCGTACGAGGCAGGAGACGAGGTGTACGAGGCGGGGGACGAGGTGTGGTACTACGATCGCGGGGTTGGGTGGACTCCGTGTGGGGTGGCGGCCGTGCACCGCACCGTGCACCGCAACGATGTGGCTCCGTACTACACCATCTCGCACAAGGGCAGGCGGCAGGAGACCGAGGCACAGTTCATGCAGCCACCGCCACTGCACCCGCACCCGCCCGGCCACACTCGCCTCCCTCGCCCGGCCACACTCGCCTCCCTCCCCCGTCGACCCCCCCTGATCTCCCCCCCCCTCCCCCCTCCCCCCTCCCACCTTTCAGGCGTCACTCCTCCAACGGCAGGGTGTGGTCTGGTGCGACGCGAGCCGGCTCCGCCCGCGCCTGCCCGGCCAGCCGCCGCCGCCGCACCTTCTCCCCTCCGAT